GGGATTCAGTGGGGAGGGGGTGGAGGAGGGCAGGCAGCAGTGGGGATCCCTCCTCTGCAGGATGATGAGGGTGAAGAGGGAGGAAGGATGCCCAGACCGTGCAGGATGCTGAGGCAGCCTCATTCCACCTTTCCCCCAGGCTGGTGTCAGCCAAATTCCCCCCTGGGTTTTTCTCCCACGTCTTCATCGATGAGTGTGGCCATGCAGTAGAGCCCGAGAGTGTGGTTGCCATCGCAGGTGAGTGGTGCCTGACTATTGTCTTGGGGACCAGCAGCTCTGCATGGCCTAGGGTTCCACTGAGTTCTCCCTCTGCTCAGGACTCCTGACTCCCATGGACAAGAAAACCAACCCCAATGGTGGGCAGCTGGTGCTGGCAGGAGACCCCAAGCAACTTGGCCCCGTCCTGAGCTCACCACTGGCCATCGAGCACGGCTTGGGTGAGTGGGGAGAGGGGTGGGAGTGCTGTTGGTTCCTGGGGGCTGAGCAGCCTTGCAGGGAGCCACAGAGTCTTGCTGGGCACAGGTATGTCACTGCTGGAGAGGCTGATGCTGCACAACCCTCTGTACCAGAAGACAAGTAGAGGATACAACCCACAGTTCGTCACTAAACTGCTCTGGAACTACAGGTGGGGACAGGGATGGTGCAGGCAGGGATGGGGCTGCTCTGCCTGTGTGTGGCTCCATCCAGATCTCTGTGTGTGTCCCAGAGCCTCACAGTGCCCCAGCTGGTGTGGGAGACGAGAGGGCACCTGCTGCCCTGGGTGCATAGTGCCTGGGAGGGTGCTGGATCCACATGGCAACCACCCTGAGCACCGTCCTGCCTTTGCCAGGTCCCACAAGGCCATCCTCAGGATCCCCAACGAGCTCTTCTACGACAGTGAGCTGAAGACCTACGAGAGCGATCAGCCCGATGTCCGGAATGTGTACTTGAACTGGGAGGAGCTTCCCAGAAGAGTAAGGGGGCAGCAGGGAGGGGCTCAGGGGGATCCCTGAGGCACAGGTGGAGCAGAGCCAAATATTCTCCATCCCCAGGGCTTCCCTATCATCTTCCATGGGGTTCGCGGGGAAGACCAGAGAGAGGAAAAGAGCCCCTCCTTCTTCAACACGTCTGAAATCGAGGTGCTGGTCCAGTACCTCAAGAAGCTGCTGCAGAGCCAGGGCAGGAGGGGCTGCCCCACTGTCTCCCCCAAGGAGATCGGTGTCATCTCTCCCTACAGGAAGCAGGTGAGGGGCATAGCTCTGCAGGAAGGGCATGGGCAAAGACCTCCCTAGGGTACACTGGGGTGGATGTGCAGCCCCAGGGCTGGCACACAGGGATGGCTCTGGTGTGACCTGACTGGGCTGTGTGTCTCCCACCAGGTGGAGAAGATCCGGAGAGCCATCACCTCCTTGGACCCCGTCCTGAAGAACCTGTCGGACATCAGCCAGCTGAAGGTAGGTCCTGGGCATGGAGGGGAGAGGAGCCCACA